TAATTTTTAGGGCTAAGGACCAAAATAATACTATTTTCTATACATTAAGGACTATTTGGATAAAGTGATATATATAAAGGATCAAAATAATTCAACCCCTATAGATGAAGGACCATTTTGATCATTTTCTAGCGTTTTTTCCATTATCTCATTTTCAATGGATGAAGTTTAAACAAAGAAACAGAGCTGCTTGTGGAAATAAGCAAGGAGTTATTTTAAGTTTTGGCTACTCCAAAAGAGAAGCAATATTCTGAAAAGAAGATTCTGCTTTTGAGGATATCAGATCCAATATATCATAAATATCTTCATTTTGTGAATGTTTTTTGTCCCCAGCAACGAATGCAGAAACTTGATCCTTGAGCTTAATCCAAGACCATCCAGGCTCCTTCGTGACGCCTTTCAATCTCATCAACTTCCTCAGTTCTGCTACTTCACCCCACTTCCCCTTTGACGCATAAATGTTTGACAAAGTAGTGTGAGTCACAGCACAATTTGGAGCAAGTTTAAGAATTTGCTCAGCCGCACGGCTTCCACATTCAACATCACCATGTAGCCTGCAGCCTCTAAGCAAGATTGACCAAGCAACATCATCCTTTTCAAATGGCATATTCTTGATCATGTTCTCAGCATCAGTTATTCGTCCAGCACGACAGAGAAGATCAATCATACAACCATAATGTTCCTTTGAATAACTTATTTTGTACTCCTCTTTCATCAATTTAAAATAGTGAAAAGCTAGATCAACAAGGCCAGCATGACTACAAGCGATTAGAACACCAACGAAGGTCACAGAATCTGGTCTTAGACCAGCATAACGAATTCTTTCAAATAAACTTATAGCATCTTGGCTGTATCCATGTTCAGCATACCCATGAATCATGGCTGTCCATGATACAACGTCATTATTTTGTGCTGAATTAAATATCTTTGAGGCCTCTACAATACTTCCACATTTTGAATACATGTTGATCAAAGCACTCAGTACTAAAGGCGTATGATCTAATCCAATGATAAGAACATGAGCATGAAGTTGCTTTCCCTGGTCAAGGATTGCCGTACTACCACATGCGCTAAGTACACTTGCAAGAGCAAATTCCGTTGGCTTTGGTCCTTCCTTTCTCATCCATGTTAGCAGCTCGAAAGCTTCCTCACCACAACCAGCCTGAGCATACCCAGCAATAATTGTGCTCCAAGAAACAATGTCTCTTCTACTCATTTCATGAAATACAAGTGAGGCCGAATCCAACTGTCCACATTTGGAGTACATTGTGACAATTGAATTTGACACAGACAGAGAATCAGGAAAGCCTACACGTAAAACATTTGCATGCAGTTGTGCACCCCAGTCTAGTTTCGAAAGATTTGCACAAGCAGCAACAACTGCAGCAAATGTATACTCATTAGGAGTCACATTCGACTCTTTCATTCTCAAGAATGCTTGTATACCATATTGGTTTTGACCAATTTGAACATATGTCGTGATTACTGTAGTCCACGAGACAACATCTCGCGACTTCATTCTTCCAAATAAACACATACCATAATTTACTTTCCCACATTTATTGTACATTGTAGCAAGACTATTAGCCACATAAGAGCTCATATCCAAGCCTTTCTTCACTATCCTAGTATGCATTTCCCTCCCGTAATTCAAACACCCAATATCAGCACACGCTTTTAACACAATCGCATAAGCATACGAATCACATTCTACACCATCTCTCCACATTTCAGAAAAATACACCAGCCCTTCCTCATTGTAACCTGCTCGGACAAGCCCAGTTATAACAGCGGTCCAAGATACTACATTCCTAAGAGGCATTTCATCAAAAACTCCACAACCCTCCAACACTTTACCAGCTTTCATGTACATGTCAACAAGTGAACTACCCACAAAAACAGAACAAACAAAATTAGCTTTCATCGAATACCCATGTAATAACTCACCACACTTCAAATTCACACCAAGCCCACATGCCTTCACCGCAAGGCTAAGAGCAAAAGGGTCCATTTTGATAGTAGGATCACGCCGCATTTCTAAGAATAAAGACAATGCTTGTAATGAACTAGAGTCATTGACGTAACCAGAAATCATATTTGTCCATGTGACCTCATCCCTTTGAGTCATTTTGTCAAACATCTGGCGTGCATCTTCTAACTGACCATTTTTAACCAATTCCTTCAACTGGGAATTAATCGCTAGCATGTTTATTGGAGGAAATTCATGGTATTCCTGCATTAAATGATAGCTTCTGTTCTCCATAGCCAAAAAGTCTCCCCATCCAGCATAGGCAAATCTTGATGTTGCATAAAGTCTTTGAAGACGAAGCCTGATTGATATCATACCACTTCAGAACTAGCTATTTAACTCTGCCTACGGTTAGACACGTGATTTTTGACCGAATTTAAAATTTTAGTGCTTAAAAATAGGGGTGTGACACTTCCAGGCTTCCAGCAACCAAAATTAGCTATGTTAACTCTACCTACAGCTTTCGCTAAGCTCTAATGGCAGATTTATACTCGGCATGTTTTATTGTAGAATTTGAAAAAAAAAAATCTTGTTTTTAAAGTGAAAAAAGATATTTGATAATTGATTTAGTTGTATTTGTTCATGAATTAAGTAAAATTGAAAAAAGTGAAAAATAACTTTGAAGTTGTTATTTGAAATTTTATGACCAAACACATAAGTTCATGTTTAACTCCAAAAAAAAATAAAAAAAATTCATGATCAAACACATTCTCATAAGGTGGGATTAATTAGTTTCAGAATTAAAATTTGCTGGTGACTAAATTGTGACGTAGTTCTCATGGTTTTAGTATGTTCGGTACGAAAGAGAAATATTTTTAATAAAAATAATTCAAAAAAATAAGTAAATTTTTTGTTTTAATTTTTTATATTTGGTAGTAAAAAGAAAATATTGAACATTTAGATATAATTTGATCAAATACTATAACACCGACTTTGATCCAAGACACAACTCCCAACTCCAATTTAGGGTCCAATTCCTGATTCCGACTTGAGACCCGACAAGTAAAAGCAAATGGAGGAAGTAAATGTTTGCGTGTTATAGTGTTTATAGTTTTTTGAAACTCTTCCATGAATCAAAATATCAAGTGTAAATTGAAAGTTTCCATGTTTGAAATTAGAGTTCAATGTACATCAAAATACAGTAAGTACAAACTGCAACTCTCCATCTTTTCAGCCTTACTCAGTTATTTCAATTTGAAAATTAAGCAGTACTAAGAAAAAAACGGTGTACTTCTTTAATGTTAGAGAAAAGTATTGAAAGTACTCTTGGATTAGGTTCAAATTATTAGTTTTGTTCCTAAATTATTGACTGTCTAAAAATAAAACTCTTCTATCGGACTAAGTAAAACTTAGGTACACCTTCGATCTGGCACATGACATAGCAAGTAGTCTCAAACTCTCGTAGGAGTATGTGACTCTTAATAAAAAATTGAGAGAAGTATTGAAAATGTCCCTACACTTCAAGAGAATTTAGGGGTGTATTTCACTTATGTTATAACATCAAGGGTTATTTAAGTTCAGTTAATCAAGTAAATGAGTGTGTTTTAAGATTGTCAATAGTTCAACAATGAAACTAATAATTCGGGCTGAATTTAAGAGTGTTTTCTCTTAATGTTTAAGGTTATCATTGAAAACAATTGTGAACTTTAGTCTTAAAAGTCTGAAATAATAATTTGGGATATTTTTTTTGAGCTAAACAACCATTGAAATGAGATGAAAAAAAGTAAGCCCAAATAAGTAATTGGGTACAATTTTCTCTCTTTCTTTCTCACCATCTTTACTGAAAACCTGGTGTAATAAAATTAATTCTCCATCAACCAACAACTAGTATTTGCTTCTGCATAAAAAAAATGTCAAAGTAGATTAATTAGCATTATATCCTTAACCATCCCCATTAACTACAAATGCTAAAAATTGCTAAAAAGATGTAGCTGGCAAAACATTTTTTTTTAGTGTGAATAAATCTAAAACAATCTTATACTTTGACACTTTTAACTCTTAGGGACCTCAAAAACCCTCTATATAAACACCTTATTAGTGTAAGCAAATTTATATAATTAACTCTTAAGAAAAGAAATGAAAATGACTTGTCTCAAGTTGATTACTTTGCTTTGTTTAATTAACTTTTCTAGTGCTGTGAGAATGCTTAGAGAGGAAAATGATGATTTATTTAAGGAGGTAAATGATGCAACAACTCCTGCTAATCCAAATATCGGAGGATTTCCGTTTCCATTTCCATTTCCATTTCCAGGTGGAATTCCGAATATTGGTTTCAATATCCCGAATTTTAATATTCCTGGATTTGATATTCCTGGTCTTGGTACGGGTACTGGTGTTACTGATCCATTTAATTTCCCAATCCCTGGAGTTCCTACTGTTGGTGTTCCAGTCCCTGGAGTTCCTGAAGTTGCTGCTCCAGGCCCTGATGTTGCTGGTTCACCTCCAGTTTAATTTATACTTATTAATTAGGATCTTATGTTTTAAAAAAATATAAATGAAATGAAGGAGTAGTTTTATAGAGCCATAGGCTCAAATGAATTATTTCTTGTCCTGTTTTTTGGATGTAATTGATTATAATTACTCAAATGAAATAGGAAATGGGGTATATATCAAGTTAAAAAGAAATCGTACTCTTGATAGTATTTCTTGTTTTTACCCGTTTTGCTAGCTTCCTTGTGATATCCTTTTAATATCTCGTTATTGACTAATCTAAATTTGCATTGCCTACGACTCATTAATGGAGAAAACACTCTTGTACTGGATGGAAGACAATTTTGTGTTTTATGATTTAGTGTCGAGACTCGAGACAAGTATCATGATGTAGGATTTTAATTACCAGTTACTATACTATGAAGCATAAACATGATGGAATGGAATTGCTTTTGTAATATGCAACACCACTAGCCAAAGATATACTAAGAATTTCATAATAAATCAAATCAAACACTTGAGAATAGCATTGATGGAGAAATTCGCTCAAGTTTCAAGCACAAACATTACAATTGGGAATAAGGCACCGCCAAGAATCCTGATTCTCTGATTACATATATAATAATGTAAAATGTTGTTGCGCGTTATTTTACTAACGAAGAAGACACTCCTCTGTGCAACTGTTATCTGTAATGTAGTTAATACAGCTTGTACTTTCCTGGTCGAAAAAGAAACTTGGACCAATATGTTGATTTTGCCACATCAAACCATAGTTTATACTGGAAACACCCAAATAAAGCTACAGGAATACCAGCACAAGCAGCAATGAGCTTTGGCTCCCAATCCGTATGATTACTATAGACCAAAAAGAATGCTGTTGTAAACGCCAAGAGCATGCTAACTATCGAGACAAACAGCGTCGTGAGTCCGAACAATAACTTGGCAGGCAATGACACAAGAAAATCATCTTCAGCATAGCGAGATGTAAGAATGGACAAGAACATAATGATGGAAAGGATTGAGCTGAATAGTGCCACCGCATCTGATATGACGAAGACCCTAAATCCATTGAATTCTAGCAATATTGGAATACCAGTATCACTATTATTACCACCTGGCACAGTAAAGCCTGCAGCAAAAACCATCGTGGCGATCAAGGTTGCAACAATCATACAAGAATTTGCCGTGTCTTTCATCCACCTTTCCCCTTCTTTTAGCAGTAGGTTATGCTCTTCTGTGAATACTTCCCTAGGGGTTTTCTCAGCTTTGTTTTTGATATTGTGGAGTGAAGGTGGTAAAAGTTTCTCCACTTCCTATCCAATTAGTAATTATATATCATTGATCAGCAGCAACCCAAATTATTAATTAACGCCTTTAGTTCATACTAAACAAATAAAATGCAACAAGATGTGTTTCCGATCCATCTCTCACCTTAAACCACAATATCTCTTTTTGCATCTGAAGTGCTGCTCCAGAAACCCTGAGAAACGATGGCAGCATAATCTTCTCCTGTTGACCATCTCATTAATAATACACCGATGGAGACTTTTTTATTATACAATAATATTTCCTCTTAAATTGGAATAGGTAACATGTATTGTTGAAAAAGAGAGAGGAAATACCTTATTATATAAGTTTGAACATCCTAACGTCCCAGCCAAATGCAACATGTTATTGCCATTAGTATCATATTTTTGAAGAAGAAAGTTTTTCATTCCTCCTGTTTGGTGTATAAGACTGAATACTTTTTCCTGTCTATTAAAAATCGCATAATGGAAAACGGACCACTCTCTGTCAAATTCCCATAGGAGACGAGGATGATTGTGAATAACCACAGCTAAAAACTCTACATTTCCTGCTATTGCAGCAAATTGGATCAATTTTTTCCATCTTACTAGCTCCAATAGCTTATCCTCTCCGCTTCTTTCACACTCCGCCCAGAGCTCCTCAAGTAGTAGACCACCTTGTTTCTTCAGTATATATCTTTCCGGGAGTAGCCCTGAAAAACTTAGCAATTTCAGCACTACAAGCTAAGCTGCTGATGATCGATATTAAGCTTGTCTTGTCATACAAAATAGAGGGAGACATTGATATTAATTATTACAACTTTCTTGGAATTAATTAAGACAGTACGTAATTAAATCTTACATGTAATGAATCGGCTCCTGACCATGGAAGTCGCGCTAATAAACTTTCTCCACAGTACTAGTGGAGAATTATAAGGTCCTTCAATGGATCTCTTCAACTTTCCTTGTTGGTTACTGATAACTAAGGACTTGTGAGATAATATGTAGAAGACATCAAGATTTCCTTGTAACATTTGAGTGGTTAATTTTCTGTCCTTGTTGAATATTTTTAATGCTACATCTACAAGAAAAAAAGTTGTACGTACGTAGGTATTGAAAATTAGTAGAAATAATGCAAATCGTAGTTCAGCTTGTTGATTTAAGTATCATGTGATTGTGCTTACGTACCGTACATCTCATTGTGGGTAGTGATCTCAAGAAGTGATAATCGTTCTGTTTGGTTTAGCATGTCAAGATTTGTGACCTCAAAAAGGTATGATACCATAGCTTTATGCCCATAAATAGCTGCCGCACTGATTGGAAATATTGCACGGCCGGCAGGATCCAGACCATGGATGTTTGGTAGATTGTTATTCCTTTCCCTCATTGCTTTAACAATTTCAATGAACCCTGAATTTACTGCAAAATTAAATGCCGTATTCCCATTATTAGTTTTCAGTTCAAAGTCATCTGGTTCCATCAGAGTCATTAGCTTTAGCACAAATCCGGTGCTTCCTGCTAATGCTGCAATTTGAAGTACTGTTTCACCAAATTCCGATATCTTTTGACGAACCAAACTTGGATCCTTTCTTAAAATTACTTCAGCAACACTCCACTTATCTTTCATAGCAGCCAGAGCAAGAATTCTATATACATCGTCATCATTCATTTTCCTTTCATCTGCATATTAATTAAGTTTCAAACCACGCATTATTAATATTGTCACTTCACTAATCATATAAGCGCCAGCCACATGACACAAAGTTTACTTACATGAGAGAAAAGACTTGTCCTTGTGGATGATTATAGAGAAATAGAGAGATTTCCTATGGAAGTTCCTAAAATTTTTAAGATTTGCATGGAATTATTGTCCTTCCAATTTTCTAGCATTGTAAAAGATTCTAGAGAGAGGCCACTATTTTGTAAATATCTAGAGACTTATTTAACAATTATTATTTACACTTTAGCCCCTAAGTTACTAGTATAAACAAAGGGCATCCATTTGTAAAATCATCAAGAAAAAATCAACAAAGTTCTCTACAACACAATTCTTCTTAGTAATCCTCTTGTGTTCACACTTTCATTCTCTTAGCGATTCCTAGAATTTTAGGCTGGCTGGCTAGCTTGGCATAGCAAGATAGTGAGCAAGTGGTGCAAGAACGTAAGCAAGTTGTCAAGTGCTGCACATGTACTTAGTAAAAGACTAAGGACGTAACACTTCTCTGTATGTATTATAAACAAGTATTACATATATGTGTGGTATAACAAGGGTAAAGTGGACAATTATTATAAATTAATCAAATTAATAATTGATTTTACTTTTTCAAGGAATGCCATTTACTTTTCATTGCTACAAGTTATAACACAACATAGAATTTAAAAGACTGCAATTAGCAATTAATGAAAATTAATCAATTAATAAATTTGGATATAATTCAAGAATGCCAATTAATTAGAAGAGCTAATAAAAAGGCAACTCTTCTCCTCATATTTATTTGTAATGGCATCTCATTTTATCAGATTTCATTATAATAAAATTCATCTTTTTTTTTCTAGTAGAGAACCTAAAAGGACAGAATGAAAATAGCCATGAGACTCCAACTTTCACTATATATATTCACTTTACGCAATTAATTTAACACAATATTAATTGTTAAGGCACATAAATTTTGTGTATCATTGTCGATGAAATTGTATAACATATTTAATTATCGTACCATATAGTATCTTAATTTTATTATTCAAATATCATCCTTCTAGAGAGTGATAGTTGTGAACTTACTAGGAACTAGTGCAGGGTCGGGAAGTTGATTTTCAATATCCCTTCCATCTCGAGAGCCAAATTGTTCATTATCGTCACAATGTTGAGAAACTGGTTCAATTTCATGGGAAGGCTTGCTCTCCATTATTATGTTTTCGAATTGCACTGCTAACACAAACTAAATAAAGATAAAGAAAACTCTTGATCTCCAATGATTGTTTCTATGTTTATTTATATTCTTGTCTTAGGAGACAAAAAGGGAAAAAAGTATGATTGTTCTTTGCTTGAACAATATGAAGAACATATTCCATTTTCAATCACACGTAAGAATTTGATTTTCCTTTTTCTACGTAAAACTCAACCATTGCCACAGTTCAACTTTGAAGGACCTAAGTATACATTCATTTGTTTTCATTTGTTTCCATTAAGATTAAGACGATTTATTCTCAATATATGAATGTGCATATAAAATTAAACATTAATATTAAATTAAAAATTTAAGTTCCTGGAATTGATTGTTCTCTCAACATAGAGCTAATTTCTGAGAGGAAAACTTTAAAAAATGACTATAGTTTGGGCCTAATTAGAGCTCTACAGCTATAGTTTGCTTAATTATGAATTATAGTTATATGTAAGGAAGAGGAGAGAGGAGAGGGAGGAGAGAGGCGGGCGAGACTAGGAGAGGGAGGAGAGCGAGATCTGGGAGAGAGGAGAGAGGTTGAATACCTGTATTTGTTGTATCAGGTTGTATCATGAATACAAGTGTATCAAAAACTATTGTATTTAGCTACATATTAGGAGGAGAGAGGCGAGCGAGATTGAGAGAAGAAGGAGAGAGACGAGCGAGATTGAGAGAGAGGAGAGAGAATGAATACATGGTGTACATTGTATCACGAATAGAATTGATACATAATACAAATAAAGTTGTCTGAATACAATTGATATTAAATACAAATCTCTCACGTGTATTTTGATTGAATACAATTGATACATGATATTGTATTTGTTGTATCAAGTTCTTTCACAAACACAATAGATAACAATTGATGTGTATTAACAAACACAACTTGTATCAACGAATAAATTTGGCAGAATGCAAATTGTCACAATACAATTGATACATAATACATATACAATTGATACATAATACAAATATAGTTGATATGAAATACAAATACATTTGATACATAATACAAAATACAAAATACAATTGTCATATTATGTGGAATGTTTTTTGGGTTGGAGAGAAATTTGCTATAAAACCCTTACCTGTAGCTATGAATTGTACTTATTTTAAACTATAGTGACATATTACATGTTTGTCGTGTTGTGTAATTTTCCCAAAATTTAATTCAAAAAGTGCTTATCATATACTCTTTTATTTATAAAAAAAGTACTAATTAATTCGAATGATTCTGGCCCAAATTAAATTAAGTTTGTTACACTCATATCACTGCACTTAATATACTTAGCTTGGAATTTATTTTTTTACTATGTTCATCTATATTCTTGTCTTTATAGACAAAGGGGAAAAAGGAATGATTGTTCTTTGCTTGAACTATATGAAGAACTCATTCCATCTCAATCACGTAAGAATTTTGGTTTTCCTTTTTCCACAGAAAATTCAATCATTGTCACATTTCAACTTTAAAGGATCTAAGTATATATTTCTTACTAGTTAAGCCCTCATTTGCTTTCAAAATTAAGTCCGTTTGTTTTCAATATATGAACGCATGTGCATATAAAATTAAACATCTAATTTCTGAACTATTTATAATCAATTTTCTAGGAGAAAATTTAATTTAAAAAGTTCTTATCATATACTCTTTTATTTATGAAAAAAGTACTAATTAACTAAAATGATTCTTGCCCAAATTAAATTGACTTTGTTACACTCATATTACTGCACTTATTATACTTAGCTTGCAAAAAGAAAAAAGGTCACAAGAGTAGAATCATAACTATACAAATATATTGAAAATACAATATACATTTACAATTACGATATATATATAGCAAGAAAACAAACTTAGACAGTCAATAGAGGAACATTCACAAATTAAACTAGTACAAAAGACAAGGAAAATAGAAGAGACAACTTTATATTAAAGGTGTATATATGTATAGAGTAAGCAACTCTTTTCCTTACGAATATAATAATTATATACTTATCTTGTAAAGAAAATAAAGGCCACAGAAGGAGAATCCTAATTGTACTAATATGCTGAAAATATAGTGTATATTTATATTTACACTGTACCAAGTCCACATTACTTGATATATCAGTTAAATGTTCACAAAGGAAGTACCTCCAGATGTATGTGCTATAGAACTCCTACTTCTGACTCCATTCAATACACTTTTGGTGAAGGAGAAGTTGCTGCACATAATTGGAAAGTTATAGGGGTTCTATTTACAATTATGATACATAGCAAGAAAACGAAGTTAGGCTATTCTGTTCCTCCTTTGATTCTTCTCTCTAAATTTTTCAGTGATTTGAGGACTATATATAATAGCACATTTTTCGAATGTAGCTAGGAGGCCACATCTTGATCTCTTATGAATATACCATGAATTTATGAAAATTTTGAGATCACCTATATTACCGTAGTTTCAATTTATTGCACCCAATCAATACATACCCCTCAATTCCATATTAAGTTAATTTTTGAGGTGTTTCACACCCTTTAAGAAAAGTAGATTAAGACATAAATTGAACCTATTTTTCCATTTTTACCCTTATTAATTATTGTCAAATTTATGATTAAAATAACTAAATATTAATTAATCACTAATTCCAATACTAACTAATGAAGGGTAAAATTGGAAGAACACTCTAAAAGTAGTCTTGAAAACTGAACAATTAAATTAATTTGAAAAATGAAAAATGCCTCAAAAATTACTTAATATGGAATGGAGGGAGCATTAATTAGTGCTCAGTATAGCAAAGTTAAGAATACTTGATATATCAGCTAAACTTCAGTACGTACTAGGAAGAAGATAAGCGGACTCTCAAATCGATTCATGACTTTGGAATATTCTTATTATGTAAGCTGATTTTAATAATTAAGTGTTTCGGCTATTATGCCATGAATTCTGTTGTTGTGTTTGACGATAAAGAGTATTCAATTGACCAATATTTTGTCCATGTTGCTACGCCAGTACTGGGCTCAACAGCTAGCAATGGATCAAAATTAGTTGATCTTTTTGTTTGTGTTTGATCACATCATAATTCTTCTAATGCAGTAGATATATATTTCTCAGTTGTAAGACTTGAGGTTGATATACAAAAGTTGTCTAAAATGTGAAGTTGTGAACTTAGATTATCAAGAAACACGACTTTTCTTATATTTGCGCTACATATACAAATCAAACTTTTCTACATCACTCAAAACTTAAAAGATTTTTACACTTGAAGTTGCATTGTTCAATAACAGTAATCTTTACTCCACAATACAGAATGAACTGTTCAATTGCAAGTTTTTGTGTTTTATGATTTAGTGTCGAGGCAACTATGATGATGTAGGATTTTGCATACATACAACCATTATCTGCAATGAAGGCTCTGTTGTTAAAAGAGTTTGTGCTTTCCTGGTCTAAGAAAGAACCTGGACGAATATGTTGATTTTGCCACATCAAACCATAGTTTATACTGTAAACACCCAAATAAAGCTACAGGAATACCAGCACAGGCAGCAATGAGCTTTGGCTCCCAACCCGTATGATTACTGTAGACCAAAAAGAAGGTTGCTGTAATCGCCAAGAGCATGCTAACTATTGAGACAAACAACGCCGTAAGTCCGAAGAATAACTTGGCAGGCAATGACACAAGAAAATCATCTTCAGCATAGCGAGACGTCAGAATTGACAAGAACATAATTATGGAAATGATTGAGCTGAATAGAGCCACTGCATCTGATATGACAAAGACCACAAATCCATTGAATTTTAGCAATATTGGAATACCATTATCGCCGTTATTACCACCTGGCACAGTAAAGCCTGCAGCAAAAACCATCGTGGCAATCAAAGTTGCTACAATCATACAAGAATTTGCAGCGTCTTTCATCCACCTTTCCCCTTCTTTTAGTAATAACTTATGCTCTTCGGTGAATAATTCCCTTGGCGTTTTTCCAGCTCTGTTTCTCATCTGGTGGTGTGAAGGTGGTAAAAGTTTCTCCACTTCCTAGTCAATTAGTAATTATCATTCCGCAGCAACAAAAATTTTTGAGAGCCATAACTCTTCCCATTAATGAAAACGCTAAAAATGAATGCCTTTTAAGTATACATATAACAAGAAGTGGAAAATATAGTTTTATGTAATCTCTCACCTTGAACCACATTATCTCTCTTTGCATTTGAAGCGCTGCTCCAGAAACCTTGAGAAATGCAAGAATTAAACAATACACTAAATAGAAAATTTCCTTCTCTGTATTTCTTGATGATTAAACTATACAATTGGTGCTGTATTTATACAGGTGTTGAAGAATCTTTCTACTAACAAACTAGACAGGTGTCTATTTCTAATTGACCTATTTCTAACAAACAAAATAAATACAAGAAGTAAAAGAAACGTTGCAAGGCCTAATGATATGTACAGATTTGTTTATTGGATCTGAGTGTATGCTTAAGCCCAAAACGTTTAGGCCCAAAGTTTAGCTGGTGGTAGAAGTCCAAATGAGTCCCAAAGCCCAAATATCGTTTTCACCAATAATCAACTTTCTCTATTCATTACAATAGTCATTCTTGTGGCTATGACAGCTATGAAATCCAACACCCCCCCTCAAGTTGGAGGCGTAGAGGATACTCCCAACTTGTGAAGAAGGCTATGGTGAAGAGGTCCAGCAAGAGATTTGGTGAACAGATCGGCAAGCTGAGAAGAGGAACGAACATGAGAAAGAGAAATGAGGCCGGCGAGGTACTGTTGACGAACGAAATGACAGTCGATTTCGACATGCTTCGTTCGTTCATGAAACACGGGGTTTTTAGCGATGTGGATTGCAGCTGAACTATCTGACTGAAGAGGAACTGGTAAAGAGATCGGAACAGTGAGATCGGCGAACAAACGAACCAACCAGGTGAGTTCTGCCACTACCCTTCTCATTAATCTATACTCAGCTTCAGCTGAGCTGAGTGAAATCGAAGCTTGCTTCTTCGATTTCCATGAAATTGGAGAAGAACCAAGGGAGATATAAAACCCACTGACTGATTTTCGTGAATCCGGACAGGTACCCCAGTCAGAATCGCAGAAAGCCAACAGCTTGTATGATGAATCACTGTTCATAAATAGACCAAGACCAGGGTCCTTCAACAAATAGCGGAGAACCCGTAAGGCTGCAGTAAAATGGGGAACCCTTGGATCTTGCATATACTGACTAAGATGTTGTACGGTGAAAGAAAGATCTGGTCTGGTGTGAGTAAGGTAATTCAACTTTCCCAATAAATGCCTGTAGGTAGTTGGATCCTTCAAGGGGATACCATCATTTGCCTTTAATTTGACAGTAGGATCCAATGGCGCGGAAACAGGTGAAAGATGTAGACAATCAAATTCTGCTAATAGGTCTAAGGTGAACTTGCGCTGAGACAGAATCAAACCATTAGGCTCGCGAATAACTTCTAGTCCTAAAAAGAAATGCAAGTTCCCAAGATCCTTAATCTTAAACTCAGCATCTAAAAACAATTTTAAATCTTGTAAAGCTGCTGCATCATCACCTGTTAATAGAATATCATCTACATAAACTGCAACAATAGAGATGGAGTTGTCGGTTTTCTTAAAAAATAAAGAATAGTCATTTAGAGAATGACTATATCCTTTGAAACTGAGAGCGGCAGTGAGTTTGGAATACCATTGGCGCGATGCTTGCTTAAGACCATAAATAGACTTCTTTAACAAACAAACATGAGTAGGTGAAGGAGGTGTAATCCCAATAGGAAATTTCATATATACTTCTTCATCAAGATCTCCATGTAAAAAAGTGTTATTGACATCCAACTGAAACAAATCCCATCCTTTCTTTACAGCAAAAGCAAGAATGCACCGAATAGTTGTCATTTTCACCACTGGTGAAAATGTCTCGTTGTAATCCACCCCTTCTTTTTGAATATCACCTCTAATAACCAGTCGTGCCTTAAGTCTTTCAATAATACCATCTGAATGTTGTTTCACTTTATATACCCACTTACAAGGTAAAGCCTTTTTCCCATGAGGTAATTCAACTACATCCCAAGTTTTGTTCAATTCTAGAGCAGATAATTCTTTATGCATTGCTTCCTGCCAGGCTGGATCATGTGCTGCCTGTTCATAGCTAACAGGTTCATGGATACTAGAAACAGAGGTGAGCATGACTTGATTAATAGAAGATAATTTGTTGAAAGGAAAAGAAATAGGGGTAACAGGACTCAGAAAACAGGTTGAACTCACATCTGTGAGTTGAAGGGCATTGCAAACATAGTCTTTAAGATATGCAGGTGTCCTAGTAATTCTAGAAGACTTTCTAAGCAAATCATCAATAACAGGATTGGTGGGAGAAATACTGGAAACCCTAGGATAAGTGGTATTAAGAGAGTCAGAAATATGGGAAGAAGGTTCTAAAACAGTGGTATCTGAAGGAATAGGGTTAGAAACAGAAAAGGGAATATCAGAATTGGAAGGAACAGTGTAATCATCATAATCAGAAGAGGGAGTGGAAACAGGAAAAATCTTTTGAGAAAGATGTGTGTCAGATGCAAAAGGGAAGTACTCTTCATGAAAGACAACATTTCTGGAAATTGATATTTTCTTTGTTTTTAGGTTTAGAACTTTATATCCCTTTTTTCCATAAGGATAACCCAGAAAAACACAAGGTAGAGCCCTTGGGTCAAATTTTGTTCTGTGAGGAGGAAGAGTAGAAACAAAACATAAACACCCAAAACATTTTAGAGTTGAGTAAACAGGATTAGATTTGAAAAGAATTTCAAAAGGTGTTTTATGGTCTAATACAGAAGAAGGAAATCTGTTTATGAGGTAAGTGGCTGTTAATAAACATTCCCCCCAATAGATAATAGGTAAATGAGACTGATAAAGTAGAGCTCTTGATGTTTCTAACAACTGCTTGTGTTTTCTTTCCACTATCCCATTTTGTTGTGGAGTGTAAGCACAGGTAGTTTGGTGGATAATTCCTTTGCACAGAAAAAAATCAGTTTGCAATTTCCCACTTCCCAATTCAAAAGCATTATCAGTTTTGATTATTTTAACCTTGGAATTGAATTGTCTTTCTATCATGGAGATAAAAGATTTGAGAATGGGAAAAGCATTGGATTTAGTGCTAAGAAGATGTGTCCAAGTAGCTCTACTAAAATCATCAACAATAGTTAGAAAGTATCTAAAACCATCATGTGTGGGAGTTTTGTAAGGGCCCCAAATGTCTACATGAATCATATCAAAAACTGCTTTAGTAGAAACAAGACTTTTGGGAAAAGGTAGTTTAGATTGTCTTGCCATAGGACAGATCACACAGGGAGAAGAAAATTTAGAACAAGAAGATGAAACTGGAACAATTTTCTTCATATTACTCAAAGGTATATGGCCTAATCTGTAGTGCCATAAATTTTCTTTTACATTAGGATCAAAGAAACTAGAACAGGAAGTAAAAACATTTGCTACTGAACTAGGAAAAAGAGAACAATTAGAACTAGAACTAGAAAGACTATTTGTAGAAGCAGCTGCTTGGAAAACATTCTTGGTACTAGCTGTTGATTGAGATGACTTGAAAACATATAGACCATCTTGTTCCTTACCAAGCACCAGAGGGCTCTTCAGTGAAGGGCCCTGCAACATGAAACAATTGTTAGGAGTGAAAAGAAGAAACTTCTGAAGTTGATTGCACAATTTATGAACAGAAAGGAGATTGAACTTAAAAGAAGGAATGTAGAGGACATTATGAAGAAGAAGATCAGGCAAAAGATAAACAGATCCTGAATGAGTAACAGTTACTCTATGAGAATTAGGAAGGGTGACCAAAATAGGTTTGGGTAGAAGATTAAGACTAGAAAAACAAATTCTATTAAAAGTCATATGCTCAGATGCTCCACTATCTAAAATCCATGAAGTACTGTCACTTTTAAACAAGCAAGCATGTGAACTGAGAAACTTAGCCTTACCAGCACAGGTAATGTTTGCATTAGCATCAAACTTTCCTCCAGTCTTCTGATTCATCTTCTGTAAAAGGTCCAGAAGCTGTCCAACATTTTCTTGACTAAGTGACTTTGGATCTGTAGAATTTTCCATCACCTGATTGCCTCCTTCATTAGTGTTGAAGGCATTGTTGACCATAGCTCCTTTCTAGTACCTTTTGTTCTTTGTGAATTTAAAATCTGGAGGAAAACCATAAAGTTTGTAGCATTGTTCAATGTTATGTCCTACTTTCTTACAATAGTTGCATGTCATAGTGTTTTTCTTAGAAAAATTCCCTTGTTGAGCCTTATAATCATCAAACCTCCTAGATCCTGCATTACCAACAAGAAAAGATGCTGATTCTCCTGGGTAATTGGGAGAAGCATGAATTTCTCTTTGTTTCTCATCTTGAATAACCAATGAATATGCTTGACCAATGTTGGGGAGAGGGGAAGATAAAAGAATGTTACTTCTAACCCCTATGAAAGTCTCATTGAGACCCATAAGAAACTGTAATAATCTCTCATCCTGATGAGCTTTCACTCCTTTCTCTTTAGCACCACAAATACAATCACAGCTACAAGCAGCAAAAGTATTGAGGGCATCCAATTCATCCCAAAGACTTTTCAATTTTGTAAAGTATGCAGAGATACTTGAGTTTCCTTGAACAACAACACTTAGATCTTTCTGTAACTGAAATAATTTTGCTCCGTTAGCCTGACCAAATCTATCTTCCAGGTCAGACCACAGAACTTTGGCATTTTGAGAATACAAAACAGATTCAGCAATCTCTTTTGAGAGAGAATTCAAGAGCCAAGAGAGGACCATGTCATTACACCTTGACCAAGCCTTTTGAAGGTTTGTATCAGTAGGAACAACTAGGGATCCATCAATGAAACCTAGTTTGTTCTTTGTTGACAGAGCAATCATAACAGACCTTCTCCAGCCTCCATAGCTTCTGCCATGAAAGGCAGTGGAGACCAGATTCATGCCTGGATGATCAGAAGAATGAAGATAAAAAGCATGTGAAGAATTCCACTGTATTGATTACAGGGATCCTATCACTTGCTTGAGTAGTTTGAACCACAGGTGAATTTTCGCCTCCAGTCATTTCAAAAAAAATATACAGAGAAGAAGAAGAAGAACTTCAAACGAGGGATTATGCAAGAAAGATCAACCTTGCTCTGATACCATGCAAGAATTAAACAATACACTAAATAGAAAATTTCCTTCTCTGTATTTCTTGATGATCAAACTATACAATTGGTGCTGTATTTATACAGGTGTTGAAGAATCTTTCTACTAACAAACTAGACAGGTGTCTATTTCTAATTGACCTATTTCTAACAAACAAAATAAATACAAGAAGTAAAAGAAACGTTGCAAGGCCTAATGATATGTACAGATTTGTTTATTGGATCTGAGTGTATGCTTAAGCCCAAAACGTTTAGGCCCAAAGTTTAGCTGGTGGTAGAAGTCCAAATGAGTCCCAAAGCCCAAATATCGTTTTCACCAATAATCAACTTTCTCTATTCATTACAATAGTCATTCTTGTGGCTATGACAGCTATGAAATCCAACAAGAAACGATGGCGGCATAATCTTGTCCTGTTGGCCAGCTCATTATTTAAACAATGATAATTAACCCAAACACTATTATTATACAATATTTCCTGTATCTATGAAAGAAACATGTATAGTTTAAAAAGAGAGGAAATACCTTATCAAAATAATTTGTGACCCCTAACCTCCCAGCCAAATGTATAATGTTATTTCCATCGATATCATATCTTGGAAGAAGAAAGTTTTTCATTCCTTCTATTTGATGTATAAGACTGAGGATTTTTTCCTTTCGAAGTAAAACCGCAACATGGAAAATGGTCCGGCCTTTTTGGTCAATGTAGTCTATAAGATCAGGATAACTGTGAATAACCAGAACTAAAAACTCTACATCTCCTGCTATTGCAGCCCAACGGATCAAGCCTTCATTTATCAGTACGTCCGATAGCTTATCCTTTGCACTTCTTTTACACTCCGCCAATACCTCCTCAAGTAGTAGACCTGCTTGTTTCTCCGGTACATATCTTTCTGGGAGTACCCCCGAAGTTTGAAGCAATAGCACTACAAACGAATGATATTAATTAAGCTTGTCTTGGTACAAAATTGATTAAGACATAGTTAAGGTCAAGTAGATCTTACATGTAATGAATTGACTCCTGGCCATGAAAATCAAGCTAATAAACTTTCTCCAAACCGGAGAATAACCTCCTTCAATGAATCTCTTCAAATTTTCTTCGCGGTTACTGATCACTAAGGACTTTCCAGATAGAATGAGTAAGACACTAGTTTTTTCTTGTAACGTTTTACTGGCTAATTTTCTGTCCTTCTTAAGTATATTTAATGCTACATCTGCAATAATTAATTAACTTAGCGATACAAGTGTAGCTATAAACAACATAAGAAAAACAGAAAAAGAAAGTGATTTTAGTTTATAGCTTACCATACATCTCATTCTGGGTAGTGATCCGAAGAAGGTCTAAGCGTTCTTGTTGCTGTATCAGATCAAAACTTGTGACCTCAAAAAGGTATGATACCATAGCTTTATACCCATTCATAGCTGCCGTAGTGATTGGTAATCTTTCCTGGTAACCACGGATGTTCGGTAGATTCTCATTTCTTCCCCTCATTGCTTTAACAATTTCAATGAACCCTGACCCTGCTGCAAGAGAAAAAGCTGTATTCCTGTATTTATTTTTCACTTCCAACTCACTTACTTCAATCAGTTTCATTAGCTCTCGCACAAATCTGGTGCTTTTTGTTGTTGCTGCAATGTGAAGTATTGTTCCAAGTTGGTCCGATATCGTTTGACGAACAAAGCTTGGATCCTTCTTTAAAATTTGTTCAGCAAGCCTCCAATTATCTTCCACAGCAGCCCGCCAAAGAATTTCACACACATTTTCATAATTCACTTTCATTCCATCTACAAATTAATTAAACTTAATGACGTTGTTGTAAAAATTCAAGACATTTACGTTATCTAGAAATAGATATATAGTTGTGAACTTACTAAGAATTAGTACAGAGTCGGGAAGTTGATTTTCAATATCCCTTCTGTCTCGAGACCCAACTTGTTCATTATTTTCACAATCCTGAGCAACTGGTTCAATATCATGGGAAAACTTGCTCTCCATTATTATATCTGCACTCTTGTTTTCGAAATGCACTGCTAACAGAAACTAAATAAGGATAGAGAAAACTCTTGATCTCCGATGATTGTTTCTATGTTTATTTATATTCGTGTCTAGAGTGACAAAAAGAGAAAAAGAACGAAGAACTTATCCATTGCTTGTTCACCAAGTAAAGCACCAACGATAACAAAAGTAACATACACAGAGTTGTGACGCATAAGGATGACTCTGTAAAGTCCTTCAAGAAGCCCACCTCTGCTTTTTCTAGCAACAGGGGGTTTCTACTTTCTAGCTCTGCTCCTCGAACAATGTTGTTGTGCTACTCAAGCTCGTACGTTTCACATCAATGTATTTCTTCCACAACACAACTCCATGCTTCATGAATGAACAAGACTAGAAGTAAATTCACCAGCCAAAAGATTAAAGTCATGACTTTAGTTATTTAGCCCTCATTTCAACTTTGAAGGATCTGAGTATATATTCTTTATTAAGCCCTCATTTGCTTTCAAAATTAAGTCTGTTTGTTTTTAATATATGAATGCATGTGCATATAAGTTAAGCATTAGTATTAAATTAAAAATTCTAGTTCCTCAAATTAAATGTTCTCGCAACATACAACTAATTTTTGAACTATTTACAATCAATTTTCTAGGAGAAAATTTAATTCAAAAAGTGTTTATCATATACTCTTTTATTTATGAAAAAAGTACTAATTAACTAAAATGATTCTCGCTCAAATTAAATTGACTTTGTTACACTTATTATACTTAGCTTGCAAAAAGAATAAAGGTCACAATAGGAGAATCATAACTGCAATAATGATTCTCCTCCAATCCTGTGACTTCTATTCTTTTTGTAAGTCAAGTATATTAAGTGTATTGATATGAGTGTAAGAAAGGGGAAAAAAAACTTTATTTAACGTTCTTTTATTATTTTGTTCTCCTAGAAACCTGATTGTAAAGAGTTAAGAAATTAGCTCTATGTTGCGGGAACAATCAACTCCAATAGCTTGAATTTTTAATTTGATACTATACTCTCTCTATTCCAATTTATATAATTTATTTTTCTTTTTAGTCGGTCCCAAAAAAAAGGACATTTATTTGTATTTAGTAATAATTTAACTTTAAAATGTCTATTTTATCATTATTGAAATGATTTATAGTCACACAAACATCCATAACTTATTTAATATCACAAGTTTCCAAAGTCTATCTTTTTTACTTAAATTTTGTGTCAAGTCAAACTAACTTCACATAAATTGAGATAGAGGGATCGGAGTAGTTTATAATTTCATATGCACATTCATATGTTAGAAAACAAACAGTATTACGATTTAGAGACAACATCTTAATATTAAGATGTTTATTAAAATTAAGATGTTTTAATCGTAATGAAAATAAATGAAGACTTAACTAGTAATATATATATATACACTTAGATTTAAAATTTCAAATATGGCCATGGTTGAGCATTCTGTAGAATTCTTACGTGATTGAGGATGGAATAAATTCTTCATATTGTTCAAGCAAAGACAGTAAGATAACACAACTTTGATGGAGACAGTAAGGGAATTCTATATGTATTGATTGGGTGCAACAAACTGAAATAGGATTGTATTTTCAGCATATTTATTGGTTTAGCACATTTATTCTTTTAACTATATAGTATTTCTAAGGAAAAGAGTTGCTTACTTTATAGTTTATACATACAACTTTAATATAAAGTTGTTTATTCTATTTTCCTCGTTTTTTATGTCAATTAATTGGTGTTTGTTCCTCTAATGTCTAAATTCATTTTCTTGCTATATATCGTAATTGTAAATATATATTATATTCTCAGCATATTTGTGGAGTGATGATTCTCCTCATGTGACCTTTATTCTATTTGCAAGCTAAGTATATTAAGTGCAGTAATATGAGTGTAGCAAATTCAGTTTAATTTGGGTGAGAATCATTCTAGTTAATTAGTAGTTAATCGTAAATAAAAGAGTATCTGATAATTAAGCACTTTTTTTGAATTTTATTTATGTGACATTATCAACAACGGGAAAAGGGTCAAAATTACCCCCAAACTATATGAAATAGACCATTTATACCCTTCGTTACATTTTGGGATAAAAAATGCCCCTGTTGTTATCCTAAGAAACCACAAATACCCTCAAGAGTTAACACCCCAAATTTTTGTTGACGTGGCAAGCCACGTAGGACTAAACCTTCCACCTAAGCGTTGCCAACTAGGATTCACTACAAAAGAACTAGACCTTTAGTGGCAACAACAGTCGCCACAAAATCCCAGAAAATCGTCACTAAAAGTTTTTAGCATTAAATTCTAATTTTGTGTTTTTTTCTTCATTGTTTTTAAAAAACCAAATATGATATCGATTAAGTAGGAGTTTGAAGACACTATATGTTTTATTTTTATGTCATTTGTAAATGTATAAAATGTACAATGATGCATTATATATATATATATAGTAGGAGATTTGAATCGAGAAGTAATTTTTGATTATTTTTCGTAATAATATTGGATGTTTTTAATATGGATATTGCAAGTTATTTATTTTAGAAAATTAGATCGCAATCGAAAATTAATTATCATTTTTTTTTTGTTGAAAAAATAAGTTTTACTAGCGAATGGTTGTTGGAGCCTTAGTCGCCACTAAAAATCACTCATAACCTTTAGTGGCAATATTTTGGGATTTTGTGGCGACTTTGTCGCCACTAAAAGTCAGGTTCTTTTGTAGTGAATCTTAGTTGGCAATGCTTAGGTGGAGGGATTAGTCCCATGTGGCTTGCCACGTCACTAAAAAATTGGGGTGTTAACTCTTGAGGGTATTTGTGGTTTCTTAGGATAACAACAGGGGCATTTTTTATCCCAAAATGTAACGAAGGGTATAAATGGTCTATTTCATATAGTTTGGGGGTAATTTTGACCCTTTTCCCGTTGTTGATAATGTCACATAAATAAAATTCAAAAAAAGTGCTTAATTATCAGATACTCTTTTATTTACGATTAACTACTAATTAACTAGAATGATTCTCACCCAAATTAAACTGAATTTGCTACACTCATATTACTGCACTTAATATACTTAGCTTGCAAATAGAATAAAGGTCACATGAGGAGAATCATCACTCCACAAATATGCTGAGAATATAATATATATTTACAATTACGATATATAGCAAGAAAATGAATTTAGACATTAGAGGAACAAACACCAATTAATTGACATAAAAAACGAGGAAAATAGAATAAACAACTTTATATTAAAGTTGTATGTATAAACTATAAAGTAAGCAACTCTTTTCCTTAGAAATACTATATAGTTAAAAGAATAAATGTGCTAAACCAATAAATATGCTGAAAATACAATCCTATTTCAGTTTGTTGCACCCAATCAATACATATAGAATTCCCTTACTGTCTCCATCAAAGTTGTGTTATCTTACTGTCTTTGCTTGAACAATATGAAGAATTTATTCCATCCTCAATCACGTAAGAATTCTACAGAATGCTCAACCATGGCCATATTTGAAATTATCAACAACTTCATCCATTTAACGTTCTTTTGTTTTTTTTCCTCCTAGAAAATTGATTATAAATAGTAAAGAAATTAGCTTTGTTGCGAGAACAATCAATTCTAGGAACTTGAAATTTTTAATTTAATATTAGTGTTTAATTTTATATACACAATTCATAAATTGAAAATAAACAATCTTAATTTTAATGAAGACAAATGAGGGCTTAATATAGATTCTTCAAAGTTGAAATGTGGCAATGGTTATGTAGAAAAAGGAAAAACAAAATTCTTACGTGTGATTCAAGCAAAGAACAACATACTTTTTGTCTCTTAAGAATTGAATATAAATAAAGATAGAAAGAGTCATTGGAGATCAAGAGTTTTCTGTATCCTTATTTAGTTTGTGTTAGCAGTGCAATTCGAAGACATAATAATGGAGAACGAGTCTTCCCATGAGCGAGTCTTAAGCATTTTACTATGCAGCATTGGCAGGGGCCGTTGAAATAATTTAAGTAATGATAGAAAAGAATAAGAATCTACCAAACATCCGTGGTCAGCGTGACATATTATCAATCACTGGGGCATCTTTCAATGGGCATAAAGATGTAACATCATACCTTTTTGAGGTCACAAATTTTGATTTGCTACAGCAACAAGAACGCTTAAATCTTCTACACACCACTATCCAGAATGAAATGTATGGTAAGCTAGCTATAAAAATAAACACACACAAACATCTCATCAGATACAAACTTGGTCCATTCTGCTGCAAAAGCAGGAAATCTAGGGTTTTTGCTTGTGGTTACTCGTGATTATCCTGGGATCATATGGAGGGTTGACGATAAAATGCATAACATTCTCCATGTTGCAGTTTTATATCGTGTTGACAATGATGGCAATAGCATTCTGCATTTGGCTGGGAAGTTAGGGGAGCCAATATTCAGTAAACAGAAAAGTAGTGGACAGATGGAAGCCCTGAAAAACAAACTTGTTCAGTCTGTGCCTCCTAATGCTGATAATAATAATAATGCTGTATTCGTTGAATCACTACAACAGCTGTTTCATTTCTTAAGGTTTCTGGAGCAGCACTACAAATGCAAAGAGAGATACTGTGGTTCAAGTGAGAAATGTAAATTTCACAGTTTTTGTTGTTTTGAAATTCTTTGCTGATGCAGAATGATAATTTCTATAGGAAGTGGAGAAACTTGTACCGCTTTCATTCCACAAGGACAGAAACAAGGATGGGAAAACCCCTAGGGAACTTTTCACAGAAGAGCACAAGGCATTACTAAAAGATGGACAAAAGTGGATGAAAGACACTGCAAATTCTTGCATGATTGCAGCAACTTTGATTGCCACGATGGTGTTTGCTGCTTGATTCACTGTGCCAGGTTGTAATAAGGATGATAATGGTATTCCAATATGGCTAGAATTGAATGGATTTACAGTCTTTGTTATGTCAGATGCAGTGGCACTATTCACCTCAAATCATTTCCATCATTATGCTCTTGTCCATTCTGACATCTCGC